TTCGTATGCTAGTTAGGTAAACACGTGCACTTTGTAGAAGAGTAGAGAAATGGTTGCAAGACTATTGTTCCAACATAACTTTATATGTGAAGACGAAGTAGCTCATTAAATCATATCTTCACCACTTCGATTGATATTATTGTGATTGTTGAGGTTTATTGACTTCAAATATCAGGAGTCGTAACGTGCAGTTCCTTGTGTTTATGTGCTACTCATGTTGCGTTACTGCTATCAAATTTCGTGTTTAATTACGAATTTTAAGGAGAAAGACTGGATTGCGCGAATTAGAAGTTTTGCGTAAGTTGAATGAAGCTGACCGGGAAGACAGATTTCATTGTCTGCAACTTTATCGCACTTTCAATCATCACAACCATCTGTGCCTTTGCTTCGAGAACCTGAGGTGGGCTGCGTGCCGAGTCTCTGCCATTCCATACCGGTATTGATGACTTTTATGCAAGAAGTGCAATTGATGAAGCCAATATTTCAGAAGTCACTCACAGGTTCTCATGTATGCTCACAGTTTGCTGTCTGTTATTGTAAATACGTGTGCAGGCGTTGTGTCCCTCGGCGGTCAATGCGTTTACACGGTCTGATTTGGTCTCTTCCCGCAAATTAATTCAACTATGCGCCTGTTTTTAACCTGGCAATTGTTCACTTCAAGCATGCTCTGTCATCGCAGCGAAACCTTTCATAGATATCGTTTAGCCATAAAATTCACTGTAAGAATGGCAGAGTACTCTCTCATTTTTAAGGCTTTCACAGTAATCCACAGATTTGTGTACTCGCAATAGTATCTGGCTTCATAAGTCCCATTTCCAGCATGAATTTGCGCGAGCTTTTGAAAAAGTATGGTAACAACGTTGGTTTGCACATGAAGGCAGTCCGCAGTTATGCGCATCAGTTGCTCATGGCACTACGATTACTCAAGAAATGCGGTCTTGTGCATGCTGACATCAAGCCTGATAATATACTGGTAAGCTGGACGAATTCTTTTCAAATTCTGTGGAAAAAATTGATAGACAAAATTTACTGTTCAAGTATCTAATTTATTTTGAAGTGCATCTCAGTCGTGCTTCCTGTAATCTGTTGTTGCGCTGTTATTGAGTAACATTTCGGGATAGCTTGGTTAAAGACATTGTCCGTGCAAATTTTTGACCTTGAGTTCCTCACCTTTACCGGGCTTTTCGGTATAGTACATCAACTTCAATTAACAATACAAAGATCGTGTTAGAGAAGTACGGCCAATTTCGATGGGGAATGATGAATGGGCAGGTTGCTGAAAGGGGTGTACCAAAGCGGATGCTTGGAGCTAATTTCCTTGACGGCAAATTATTCGTTTGAGTTTGGGAAATAGCTTAGAGAGTCGGCCATCATAATGTGGAGAACTCAGAATCCTTAGTTTCACATGGACACTGCGTTTAAGGAAGTTGTCATTCTATTTTCTCTTTCTGAACCATCGTTACTAGCATATAATTCATTGTATAATAGGTGAATGAATCAAAATTGGCGCTGAAATTATGCGATTTTGGATCTGCTGGGCATGTACGAGATCAGGAGATTGCCCCATATCTAGTTTCCAGATTTTATCGAGCCCCAGAAATAAGTATGTTTGTTCTTGCTATGATGTTATGGTGCTATCAGCTTGACACTGCCGTATTTCAGTGTTGGGTATTCAACATGATTATGGAATTGATTTATGGTCCATTGCTGTAACACTTTATGAGGTTTATACAGGAAAAATAATGTTTCCAGGCAAGAGCAATAATCACATGCTAAAGGTATTTGGTGTCAATAGTTTGAACTTTGTTTTTCTACTTTTTACATAATA